ATATTACTAATCAAAAATAAAATTAAGTTTTGATATATTTATGGTAGAAAATGTACAAAATATCTTCAGGGAACAAGATCTTTACATAATATCCTAATGATTTTTCACATTAAAAAAAATCGACAATTTTGACCCCTACAATGTATTGTTGGCTATTGCTACAAATATACCAGTGCTACTTATGACTGATTTTGTGCTCTAGGGTCACATAAAGAGACAATAAAAGAAATAAAACATTTTATATGTGCAATTCTCACTGGCAGTTGCTAAGATGTTATGAATGAGGGTTGTTTTAGAACATTGCTATGTGGTCGCACAAAAATTTCATAATAATATAAAAGAAAGTTTAATACTTGGGATTGGGGTTTTGAAATAGTAATAATGATATTCATTATTACCATTACATTCATACACTCATCAAATGATATTCATCAAAAAATTATATATTATATATAATATATTAAATTATATCTTATATATATTAAATAAAAATATAATATAGATTTAAATCAGCAGTTTTTAATGCATTCTATAAAAACCTAAAAACCTAAAAATAAAATAAACAATATAATAATAATAATAATAATAATATAATTTTGGATTTGGGGTTTTGAAACATCTAGTAATAATGATATCTTAGCAAAAAATATATATTATATTTAATAGGATTAATATGAAATTCAAAACAGCTGTTTAGAATCCATCCTAACAACTGCTTTCATTTATATTAAAAAGACAAAAAGAAAAATAAGAATTTTATATACAACTCTCTGTTTCTATGGTGTTTTGAGTTTTTCTTTCTTTCTAGAAAGTCTAGAATCTAGAAAATAATGATAATAACAATACCTTGGCAAAAAAAGACAAATTAAATTTAATTAAATTAGATGCATATAAAGTTAAAATAAATTCTTGATCTGATTATCTGCAGAACTTCAGGGGGAAAAAACACCTCTATGGCCTACAAACAGCCTAAACGAAACCTAAATAAACAGGCTTTCTGAACACGGGAAAAAACTAGAGCAGTAGAGTATTACTCATTAGAAATGAAAGAAAAGACGAAACCAAACAAGCCCCAATTAAGCCTCCTTCTATTAAAAGGCACTTAAAAAGAGAAATAATCTCACTTCTTTTTCTTCTTGTCTCATCTTGTAGTAACAAATACATTACAGGCATTATCAGCCACGAATGCCCTTATTAGAGGCGTAGGGGGGGGTACTCTGCGGCGTACAGAAAGAAAATACTATTTCAGTTTTTCTACTTTAAAATTTCCCTTCAATTTCAAGTGTTCCATACAATTAAAATTAAATAAAAAAATTTAAGACAAAAAAATGTTTCTTGCGATTTCTGGGTGAAAACTGTTTCTACACCATTTATTTTTCAGTGTACATGAAACGTTGACTGTTCCCAAGTGCCTGAACCTAATTAACAAAAGCCAAGACAAAGTAAATTGTCTGATAGCTTCCAAAAATTTCAATAAGTCTTCTCTGCTTGAGAGCCGAGCATTGTAGTAGGCAATCACTACCTGAGGTCAACATATCAAGGACGACGAGATGAGGGTAATGTTATATTTAGGGGATCAATACCAGTTCTGAGAGTAAATATTTTAAATAAAAAGCGCTTTTACAAGACTGAAGAATCCTGTAGTGCTCGTCCTAGTCCTTCAAGTCTCCGGCTGAATCGAAACAAGTGAGCTTTAGCATTACCCATTTGAACAGATCAAAAGAAACGAGGTGGTGAGTTCACCCGAAGTCTTGTCTTAAGACTAAACCATAGATATAGAAAATGTGACCTCTCAACTTCCATGTAAAAGCGACGTCTCAATAGCACAGAAACCACGATTAGAAGGACAGCGCTACAAAGCTGCTTTTAAATGAGTTCAATCAACACCTTTGCAAACAAACACAAACGGCGAGAATACCTCCTGAACTCCTCATTATGTTGTGTTTGAAGCACCGATTGAATTGAACCCATCTGCTGTGTAAGCACAGGCCCATATAACAGCCCTGACACTATCGGCTACATAATGGCTCGGCTCCATTAACACGAGTCCTCCTCCGCTTTTTGAGGCTCTCTGCATGTAAAAGAGACGCGGCGGCCATGACCTTCTGACCCGCTCCGAGCGACGAGTTCCACCACAAAGCGAAGGATTAACCTCTTATATGGCACTTCTCTACGTCGATGTTGAGGACGTACAAATCCATTATAGAGCTGTACAAGTGTGCTAAAAACACGCCGTTTTATTACTATAAGGTTTAAACCACCTAGACCTAATGCTAGACAAGCAAATTCATGGTCAGGTATAGGGACAGGAAGATTTCATATAATCCAAATGCAAACTGGGCTTTACTTTTGAAATGTAATCAGTTACAGTGTAATTTATGATGTACTTTACAGTATGATGCATCTACGAATTTTAAATACCTTTTAAATTCCGATTTATTTTCCGTATTTAGACTGAATATGAATTGAGAAAGCAAACAGGAAGCAGAATTGCAATGCAGGAAGTAGAATTCAAATGAACAGAAATTCAATTAACAGTCACTTTTATTAGAAAATCAAAGTGTGTAAAAATACGTTTTGAATAGTGTAAAAAAAAAAAAAAACTTTAGTGTAAAAAACAAATTGCCTGTCTGCTATCTGTCGACAGTTGTGGCCAAAAGTTTTGGCAGTGACATAAACTGTGTTTTGCAAAGTTTGCTGCTTAAGCTGTTGTGGTGTTCATTCACATTGTTTCTAGATTATTGTGTAAATGTAAAAATACGTTTTGAATAGTGTAAAAAAAAAAAAACTTTAGTGTAAAAAACAAATTGCCTGTCTGCTATCTGTCGACAGTTGTGGCCAAAAGTTTTGGCAGTGACATAAACTGTGTTTTGCAAAGTTTGCTGCTTAAGCTGTTGTGGTGTTCATTCACATTGTTTCTAGATTATTGTGTAGAGTGATCAGATGCATTTTAAATAATGTCATTGACTTTTCACAAAAAAAAAAAAAAATCACTGTTTTTTGATCCTGACATAAAATGACCAGCTAACATTAACTGACTAACCATATCAGCAGCACACGTGAAAGTGTGAATGAGTACTAGTCAGGTAAAATCGCTATCATATTAATTAGTTTGTAAGAGCAGACTGATTGCTATAAAAGGAGGGAAGAAGCGCTTCCAATCATTGTGTTCTTGTTAGCAATGGTTACCTCCAAAGAAACATGTGCAGCCAACATTGCTTTGCATCAAAATGGCCTCACATGCAAGGAAATTGCCACAAAGAATCTTGCACCTGAAAGAACCATTTACCAGATAATCAAGAACTTCAAGGAGAGAGGTTCGACTGCAGTGAAGAAGTCTTCAGGACGTCCCAGAGTGTCCAGCATGCGCCAGGACCGTCTCCTCCAAATTGTGATCAACTCCGAGAACTAATAAGGGAAGAATGGATCGCCTTCAGTCAGGATTTGGCCCAGAAGCTAATATCCAGCATGTCAGAGCAAACTGCCGAGGTTATGAAGAACAAGGGTCAACACTGTAAATATTGACTGATTATAATTCTTTTGCCAATAAAAGCCTTTAAAACGTATGATATGCTTATTGTTTTTCAGTATACCATAGAAACATGGAAAAATAATCTACAAATACTGAAACGGCAAACTTTGCAAAACACAAAATTAATGTCACTGCCAAAACTTTTGGCCACGACTGCATTACAAATAGAACAACAGATAGAATGATAGATAGACAGATAGAATGACAGACTGAATTATGGACAGACAGACAGACAGTGATAGATAGAACAATATAAAGAATTATGCAAGACAGATAGAATGACAGATAAAATAGAACAGAAAAGAGAAAAGATAGAAAGATCAACAGAACAATGGATAGACAAAGGTGGATAGACAGAACGATACATTGAGCAAAAAACAGAGAAGGAAAGACAGAATTACAGAATACTAGACAAGACATCACTAGAATGATGGACAGACATATAGAGTGATAGAAAAATATAATTTTTCTATAAAATAGAAAAAAGACAGAATGATGGATAGATAAAATGATAAACAGAACAACAGACATACAGAACGATAGATAGAATGATGGATAGACAATAGATAGAGAGAATTATATAATGATAACTGTTTCCCATTTAAATAGTTTTAAATGTTATTTATTCCTGTGAGGTCAAAGCTGAATTTTCAGCAGCCATTAATCTGGAAATCATTCTAATATGCCGATTTTGCTGATTTCTAGAAAAGCCTGACAGGATAAATAGAATGATAGATACGGCAACTAGAACGATAGATAGATAGAACGATTGAACGACACAGATAGACAGACAGACTGAACGATAGATAGATAGAACGATAGATAGAACGATAGATAGATAGACAGACAGATGAAAGCTATTTTCATACGGTCCACTTTCACTTTCAATTCACTTTTACCATTTAAAATAACTAGTTTTATTTCACATTCATTGAGACACAATTTATAGAATTTTAATAATGCCCATAACACAGAAATAATTATCTGCTTATTGACTTCATTTCTCTGTTTGACGCTCGACAAATTGACCAAAATGTCCATCTGTAGTCAGGAAGACTACAGGGAGAAGAGTTGAGAAGAGAGGCACAACGTGAATCCCTTCTCAGCAGCTGCAGTAAATGGCGTTTAATAATAGGAATGATTTTATCCTCCCTCCCAACAGTCCTGCTCCACGTCTTAAGTAGCCACCATGATCCACACACAGCCAGCCCCGCCATCCATCATCCTCCAGCCCAATAAGTGACAACAATTTCCTCCTGAGTCCCCGTTAAAGGCAGTACTCCTGATTATCTGCACTCTCCGAGAATGGAGCTCTTCCACCGTGCCACTTAAGATCATCATACAATTACACGACCCCCGTGCGTCCTCGCTTTCCGAGAGCGGAGAGGCAGAATCGATGGGGGGACAATAGGAAACACAGTGATCAGGGCCTCAGAGGATGAGATCAGATCAAGGGCGTCTTTGAACATGCTGATTGAGATGTCAGCGCTCTGCAGTTTCGAGGGAAATTAGAGGATATCTCTGTGATAACTGGGTGGAGAAAATTCAGGGTGCGACACAAAGTCCTGTGGTTTGCTGCGGGACAAAAACAGCAAGAAAATACCTTATATTCGTTCAAAAGGCATCTTGTGAATCCGGTGTTAGGTGATCTTATAACAAGTGGTCAGTGCTCATATCAGGTATAAATGGAGTACAAAATGTTATGTGGTCAAATCATACATATCACATTTAAAAAGCAGAGTGAATGTGACTACACTGCATAAAAATAATAATGCATTCTAGAGGAATGACTCATTTCTTGTCAATCATCCACGGCACTACTTTGCCAGTTTCATTTGCTTTCGAAAGAAAGCAACTATCTGTCCAGAAAAAGTGTAAAAATACTGTACACTACTGTTTAAATGTTTGGGGTCTTTAAGATTTTTTAAAAATGTTTTTAAAGAAGTCACTTATGGTCACCAAGGCTGCATTTATTTGATCAAAAATTCAATAAAAACAGTAATATTGTGAAATATTACAATTTACGTTTCCTATTTACATATTTTTAAATGTCAAAAAGCTGAATTTTCAGCAGCCATTAATCTGGAAATCATTCTAATATGCTGATTTTGTGTACATTACATTTCTTATTATTATCGATGTTAAAACCAGCTGTGCTGCTTAATATTTTTGTGGAAACTGAGATACATTTTTTCAGCATTCTTTGACAAATAGAAAGTCCAAAAGAACAACCTTATATGAAATAAAAATATTTCGTGAAATTATAAATGTCTTTACTGTTAGTTTTGATCAGGTTAGCACATCCTTGCTGAATTATAATATTAATTTAAAATAAAATAATTTAAAAATGAATGCACGCTACTCAATAATAGTCTATTTGAGAGCAACAGTGTGCCAGCTTTTCCCTTTTAACTTTTTGTTCAAAATTAACATGACTTTATGCATTTAATTTTAAAGGGATAGTTCACCCAAAAATAAATTCTGTCATTAATTACTCGCCCTCCTGTTGTTCCAAACCCATAAGACCTTCGTTCATTTTCAGAATATAAATTAAGATAGTTTTGATGAAATCTGAGAGCTTTCTGACCCTGCATAGATAGCAACGCAACTGACACGTTCAAGGTCCAGAAAGGTAGTAAGGACATCATTAAAATAGTCCATGTGACATCAGTGGTTCAACCGTAATGTTATGAAGTTACGAGAATACTTTCTGTGCACAAAGAAAACTAAAATAACTTTATTAAACAATTTCTACTCTTCCGTGTCAGTCTTTGACACTAAAATTAAGGTTGAGCCACAGACAAACTATTTTAACGCTATCCTTACTACCTTAAACGTGTGAGCTGCGTTGCTGTCTATGGAGGGTCAGAAAGCGTTCCAAACCCATAAGACCTTCGTTCATTTTCAGAATATAAATTAAGATATTTTTGATGAAATCCGAGAGCTTTCTGACCCTGCATAGATAGCAACGCAACTGACACGTTCAAGGTCCAGAAAGGTAGTAAGGACATCATTAAAATAGTCCATGTGACATCAGTGGTTCAACCGTAATGTTATGAAGTTACGAGAATACTTTCTGTGCACAAAGAAAACTAAAATAACTTTATTAAACAATTTCTACTCTTCTGTGTCAGTCTTTGACACTAAAATTAAGGTTGAACCACAGACAAACTATTTTAACGCTATCCTTACTACCTTAAACGTGTGAGCTGCGTTGCTGTCTATGGAGGGTCAGAAAGCTCTTGGATTTCATCAAAAATATCTTAATTTGTGTTACGAAGATGAACAAAGGTCTTATGGGTTTGGAACAAAATGAGGGTGGGTAATTAATGACATTATTTCATTTCTGGGTGAACTATCCCTTTAAGTCCATAAAGTCTGGGGAAGCAGTTTAATTTTTAAAATACTGCATGTTGGCATTTAGCTTGGTATTTGCATTTTTCACAAGTTTGAGAAATATAATAATACTTCACATTTCAATCTTTTTTGGTTTACTTTTTGTGCTTTCTCAACAAGCAGCAATACACTGACAAAGTAATGTTCATTAATTAACATAAGCTTTCCTTGATAAAATATTGGTCAAATGACACTACAGGAGTAAAATCATGATCAAATCACCTAAAACTGATGCACAAAGACACATAAAGAGGGCCTGTAAACAAACAGGACTGTCATTTTGCATACGAATGAAAACTATGACAGGTGGGCGCTGGCTGAGGAATGTTCTTATAAAGAATAAATATAAAGACATAATTATCGTCATAGCAAGAATGACATTGTGTTTGTCTTCTTTCATGTTGGAAACTACATTTAATAAGTAGGAGTGACATAAAAGCCTAATTCAAGCAGCAATACACTGACAAAGTAATGTTCATTAATTAACATAAGCTTTCCTTGATAAAATATTGGTCAAATGACACTACAGGAGTAAAATCATGATCAAATCACCTAAAACTGATGCACAAAGACACATAAAGAGGGCCTGTAAACAAACAGGACTGTCATTTTGCATATGAATGAAAACTATGACAGGTGGGCGCTAGCTGAGGAATGTTCTTATAAAGAATAAATATAAAGACATAATTATCGTCATAGCAAGAATGACATTGTGTTTGTCTTCTTTCATGTTGGAAACTACATTTAATAAGTAGGAGTGACATAAAAGCCTAATTAAGATGGACTCGAGCAGCTTGATAAAGGAATGCCATGTAATTTTTGCTGGCTCTTAAGCATGTTCCAGTTCATTTCGCACCCTGTTACACTAATTAACGGCTGAGACCACGACCGCATGAAATTACAGCCAACAAAATCGGCGGCTTAACAAAAGGGATTTTGACAGTTCTTGGACAGTCTGAAGGCAGGTGTGAGCACGACATCAAACAATAAATACGTCTGTCATTGAGAGGCTCGGTACGCGCCGTACTCTGACTCCTCCAAAGCGAAGAAATACGGATGGAGAATTCAAGCATGAAAACCATAACCCGGTGGTGACAGCTTTCTGTTATCATGCCATCAAATGATTCCCAAAATCCTTCTTTAAAGTAAATCTACATAGTGCGATCAACAAAATGTGAAGTTGTAGAGTGATTTGACAGCTGAGCAGAAGACTGTGAAGTAGCCTGGCCTGTGTCAGAAGATACTGATGCATAACCAAAACGCTTTACATTCCCATCAAGAACTGACTGCATTTCAATGCTGCCATCGTGTTGATGCTGTCGATCCCGTAATCTCTTCATCAAAGCAGATGGTTTAAACTTTAAATGCACAAAAAACATCCGCTGACCAATCCATCTCATTGACTTGAAAATTCAATGGCTGAGGTACTCTGACATTTATTGAGATTAGAAGAAAACTTTGCACGTCAATTGCAATAAGTGGCTGAGGAGTCCATTAAACAGAACTAAATCAAAACATCTTTAGGTGAAGTGTGTCATTTATGCACCGCTACCATCACCAAATGGATAAATAAAGTAGAAATATATAAGTAATAAAGTTTTTCACAAACACTCATGTCTACGACTACAAAACAAAAACCTGCTATGAAATTATTCTCCTTTTCAGCTAGGGATGCACCAATATAATAATTATTTTCCATAACAATAAACATATTTTTTCATGTTATAGCTAGCTGATAACCAATTAAATTGATAAAACACTAAAATCCATAACTTTAAATGCAACATTTAGGCATCACAACATTATAATGTGAAGAAAGCGATATTCATTTTGACATTTGTTAAAGAGTACATTTAACACTGTTAAATTATTAGTGCATTTTACACAAATAATAACTTTTAGTCAATTTTAAACTTGAAGTGAGCATTAGATATGGGCAAAAGTCATCCAAATATTGAAATAAAAGAAATGAGCATGCATTAAATATTCTAAACCGGTTGATAAATGATAATATTTATCTAATAAAAACTGTAATTTTGCCCGACAACCGATAAATAAAAATGGCCAATAACCGATAAATAAATACTAATATCTGCCGATAACCAATAACTGTTGACTTTAAAGTTCAAATATTGTCACACGTGTCTTCGAGGACTTACTGCTGGATGCGCTGAAGAGGAAGCGTTAGCAAATCCTCAAGTTTCTGCTGATTGAGCTCAGGCCTGGACTCCTGGAGCTTTTTAAACCGTCTGAAGGCTTTGCTTTTCTTCACCTGAACCTGAGAAGGAAATGAACCATGAATCAAAGATCTGCTTCCATGAAAACAACTTGATACAACAGTAGCGCACATTTGATAATGCTAGCGATAACACTGTTTACCTCCCACCAACAGCATCTCCCCCGTAGATGATGCATGTGGCGTGATGTCTATTGAATTGTGCATTCAGTCTCGCTTGTGACTCAATCTCACTCATGCACAACGAGACATCTCTGTTTTCTCTTATCACAAGCTGTCTTCTGAATAGAGGCAACCTTGGTTTCATTATTAAATATACACTCACACGAACCATGTCAGGATAATGGCAGACAGAGTCTGCATTAGCATAGCAAAATATCACTTTTTTTATGCAAAATTTGTTTGGAATTGTGCTTCCCTCTGAGAAAAGCATAAGTCGTGCTACTTTTTTGTGCCAAGTAAATAATAAATAAACATATCAAGTACACAAAACAATCCATCATCTTCAAACGGCGCACACCGTGTACAACACCTGCTCGGGTAACATTTATGGCCGAAACAGCTGGGGTCTCCCTCTGAGAAACACAGCAACATTAAATCACCGCATGTTGGACATGCTGTGAGAGGAATCTTTTATTCAGGACAGTCAAAAATTTTTAAAAAAAATTATTCTCAGAATGAATCCTGTCAAATCCTGAAAGCTTTCCACATTTTAAAATAATAGGTAAGTCATCAAAACAATATTAAACAATATTAAAATTCTATTATTATATCAAACTAAAATGTAAATATTTTACCTGAATAAAAAAACATTAAAAATGTAAATCTATTTAATAAGTGAATTTAAGCATCTCAAAATTATAATGTACACCATGAAAAATATATTCATTTTGAGAGTTGCTAATGATTTGAATTTTTTTGTATTTTTAAAGATTACAAATGCTGTCATTTGACCTTTCTATTGATCTATTTCAAGATTCCTAAACAAAGCAGGACATTTGAATGTTTAACATTAAAATAGAACATTTATTTTAAATTGTAATAATATTTCATATATTTGATTTTCATTTATATTTGATCAAATAAATATATTTACACCAATAATAAAAAATAAATAAATAGATAAATATCCATACTGGCCAATAACTTAAATGGTACAGATATACTGTGCATTTCTAAAATAATTCAAAACTATCTTTTAACAGATTTAAGCGTCACATCATATATTATTATATATGTTCAATCAATGTTAAAAATGGTACTAAAAAGGAAATTAAAAATGTCAAATTAGCATGTAACAACCTGTAAAAAGCGCCACTGGTTGAGAAAACGTTGAGATCTTGGCCTAGATTGCTATTCTCTTATTCATTTCCATGCGACGGTGGGTTTTGAAGGACAAACCAGCCATGTTTGGATCATGTGACATGGCGAACACACCAGCCCATGTTCCAGCAATTACAGCCATGTAGGCCTAGCGGAGGAATCGATGCTAACTTAAACAGCTCAGTCTGCAATCAATGAGAACCAGTCAATTGGCCGCAGACGTATTCCTCCTCTTAATTAAGACATTAATATCTGTGAGGCTCCAGGCTTCCCCTCAGATAAATAAAACCAGATGCTAGCACGCGGCTTGGAAGAGCTTTGCTGCGAGGCTAACACTCGAGCATATATTCGGTATCAGACACAATTACTGGCATAGCACAAAACACGTTAATATGCCCCCTCAGTTCACCGCAAGCACACAGAATACAGAAGTTAGCATTAGCCAGGCGTGCCAATGATTCTTTAACCACTAACTGATTTGGTCGAACAAGGAATCAGTCATCCGTACACTTGGGTACAGGTGCCTTGCCGAGGGAGGAGCTAATTAGCAAAGAGAGAGACTCCCTATCACACTTTTTTTCCAGCCCACTGATGGAGGCTGCCCACTTAAGTCAGGCGTAATGAGATGGTAGTGTTGGACAAAATGGTACCGCTGGGCTTTGCCTGGAGAGATCTGTTTGCACAGAGTGTCATCCATAAGCCTTAATCAGGTAGGTGACTCCATTTTTTTTCACCGTTCCAAATGTCAATCATTCTGAATGACGATCTTTGAGTTACTGACCCAACATTGTGTCTTCTCTTCTTTTTTCCCCCCACAAGGTTGAGCCGAACAATGTGGTAGGGTGAAAAAAGCTGCCATAGATGAGGAATCGTACAATGATTTAATAGGTTTGGACCAATTAGAAGTAGAGCATGACATACTGTCAATCCTGCGCATTACCATAGATCTATAATGAATACATATTTATGATTTCATATCGATAGATGTAGCCACTGGCTTTTGTGTAAGGAGGTGACCTCTATCCAGGTAATAAGGCATTTACTTGCGAAAAGCCAATACCAGCGACCATTTGATTTCATAGCAGGTAAAAAAATGAACCTACCTTCAAATAGCAAATCATTATCAAAAGAAAAGGAAAATTGCACAATCTGTCAAATGTATTCATATTCGCCGTATATTCAAGGCTGTACAACATAAAGAGTCACATTTGTAAGGATGGCTGTCAATGTCAAATGCCGAGCATGTGAAGAGAAGTAAAAAGGGGGTCAAGTCTAACATATGAAACGTTTAACTTTAACTTACCATGAGGACTTTGTTAGCCGTCTGAATGTTGTCAACATACGTTTTGTACAACTGCAAATGAGTGCAAAACTCCTCAAACCCAATGCCAAATCTCCCCAGTTCTAGATGAGTGAGCAGGGTCCTGTTAAGAAGTAAAAATATTGTTTGCTTTATGCGGCGTAATTTAATCAGACTTCATTGAATTGATCATTCCTCAAACGTGCTGTAAAATAAAATAAATAATATATCGTGCACATACATTATAAATATGATATAATAAAATAAAAATATAAATATGATATAATAAAATATAAATTATATATAATATAGAAAAGTAAATATTTTAGAATTTTGACACTATATATAAATTAATAATTCCATTCATTATATTTAATAATTAAAATTCAATAACAACAAAATAGATAAATCTATAAGTAATAAATATTTTAATTATGTATGTATTTAGAAATACTTTTTTCAATTTTATATAAAAGCGCCACACACACATTAATGAATTAATTAAATAATGCATTGCATTTGTTAGTACTTAGTAATAAACAATATTTTGTAAAAAAAATAAATAAATTATATATATATATATATATATATATATATATATATATATATATATATATATGTATATATACCCTATGATGAAAATTACAGGCCTCTCTCATCTTTTTAAGTGGGAGAACTTGCACAATTGGTGGCTGACTAAATACTTTTTTTCCCCACTGTATATATATATATATATGTGTATTTTTTTTCATTAATTGTTTTTCTATTTAAGAATATATATATAAATTGGAAAAAGTTTTAAATGAAATGTTGTATATTATTTACTAACAAATTAATTAATTAAATAATAATACTTTTAATATTATTATTCATTATATTTTATTAAATTTTTAATTAATTCGTTTTATTTTTACTGTTGTTAAATTGCACAATTATATATTAAATCATACTTTCAAAGAACCGTCATACTGTGTCAAATCATCAACAATTAAGTACTGTTAACTCAAAAAACAAGTAACAGGGCCCACTTTCACGTTACCCTACCCTGCAGTCTTGCCACCGCACTCCAAACGCAATGATAACCCTGATACTGTTTTGGAAATCAAGGCACTTCTTGTCACAAATAATGAGGGGGGTTAGTTCAGAGGCAAGCGTATTTGCGAAAGGAAGTGTTTTTAGTCAGATTTGTGTGGTGTCATGCGAGGGCCCCTCCCTGTGGGTGACATACTTATTTGAGACAAGGGTGCTGAGCTTGTTCAGCAGCGTTTAATGAATACGGAATGCATTTGTCTTTACCGACCCAAGAGTATCATGTGATGTACAAACAATGAACTTCAAACCAACTGCAAGCAATTCTTGTAAACTTAAATATAGCAGACAGATATTTTCTTAGAATGTCATCGTATTACTGTCGCCTTTGAGGCTGCCATCATTTTGAAGGTTTTACGGAAAACTGGGAATGATTGGTTTGCATTGTACTCAGGTTATATAATCACTTATAAGACTGTATAAAAAAAATCTAATTAAAAATACAAATTTTCTCATCCTCATGTTGTTCCAAACATGCATGACTTTGTTCTGTGGAACACAAAAGGAGAAGTTTTGAAAAATGTCCAGGTTGCTCTTTTCCATACAACGAAAGAGGAAGGTGTCAAGCTCTACAAAGAAAAGAAAAAAAACTGATGCCATACAAGTTTGTGTGAAAAACAGTCCAAAAGAGTGCTATGAAACTGGTAGCTGCAGTTACCATCAGTTTTGGGGGTAACGCATTACAAGTAATGCGAGTTATGTAATCAGATTACTTTTTTCAAGTAACTAGTAAAGTAACGCATTACTTTCAAATTCACTTTTTCAAATAAGGCTTATTAATTTCACTTTCGGTGTGAAAGGGCCTTTAAATTAGCCAAAAATAGAACTTTTGAGATTTTTGTTATTAAAAATAAATAAGCATCAGCTCAGGTGACAAAAAGTATCACAAAAGTAATGTAAAGCATTACTTTGTAAAAAAGTAACTAAGTACAAATTTAGGTTAAAAACTACAATGGCTTATAAATTCAGATGCGTTCATACAATTTTTTTTTCCTACTATAAAGTGCATATTGTGTATGATAATTTATTTTATTTTTTTTACATCTACGGCTCACCTCCTGTCCTTGTTCTCTGTTTTTCTGCGCTACAACTAGTCCAAGATAAAAAGTGTTTGTTTGCTTGTTCAGCAGCGTTTAATGAATACGGAATTTATTTGTCTTTACCGACCCAAGAGTATCATGTGATGTACAAACAATGAACTTCAAACCAACTGCAAACAATTCTTGTAAACTTAAATATAGCAGACAGATATTTTCTTAGAATGTCATCGTAATACTGTCGCCTTTGAGGCTGCCATCATTTTGAAGGTTTTACGGAAAACTGGGAATGATTGGTTTGCATTGTCCTCGGGTTATATAATCACTTATAAGACTGTATAAAAAAAAATTATTGAAATAATACATCAGAAATGTAAGCATAAAATGTAAAATAAAAAAAATCTAATTAAAAATACAAATTTTCTCATCCTCATGTTGTTCCAAACATGCATGACTTTGTTCTGTGGAACACAAAAGGAGAAGTTTTGAAAAATGTCCAGGTTGCTCTTTTCCATACAACGAAAGAGGAAGGTGTCAAGCTCTACAAAGAAAAGAAAAAAAAACTGATGCCATACAAGTTTGTGTGAAAAACAGTCCAAAAGAGTGCTATGAAACTGGTAGCTGCAGTCACCATCAGTTTTGGGGGTAACGCATTACAAGTAATGCGAGTTATGTAATCAGATTACTTTTTTCAAGTAACTAGTAAAGTAACGCATTACTTTCAAATTCACTTTTTCAAATAAGGCTTATTAATTTCACTTTTGGTGTGAAAGGGCCTTTAAATTAGCCAAAAATAGAACTTTTGAGATTTTTGTTATTAAAAATAAATAAGCATCAGCTCAGGTGACAAAAAGTATCACAAAAGTAACATAAAGCATTACTTTGTAAAAAAGTAACTAAGTACAAATTTAGGTTAAAAACTACAATGGCTTATAAATTCAGATGCGTTCATACAATTTTTTTTTCCTACTATAAAGTGCATATTGTGTATGATAATTTATTTTTTTTTTTTTTACATCTACGGCTCACCTCCTGTCCTTGTTCTCTGTTTTTCTGCGCTACAACTAGTCCAAGATAAAAAGTGATGATTTCAGCTAAGGATTCAAATAACCTTCAGCAGCCAGCGCAGATATCAACATGCATCTGAAGAAGCTTCCTGATAACGATGTGGTTTTGGAGAACGCGAGCACTTTATTCGTTTTAATCAGTCAGCCGCTGCTGTCTGTTCACAGATCTAAATTGAGAGACTGCCATTACGCTTCACCCGGCACTTCAATAACCGATTCTAATGATGATATATGGTAACCGAGCACCGATTTATCCAATACATCGGGCTCTGAAACTCAGCCCTCCATCTTCATTCAGCCACTGTTTGTAGAGAGGCCCGTCAATCAGGCATTGATGGGAGCCTCGGGGACCCACAGTGATTCATTATTCAGACAATTTTATGATTCTCAATCAACAGGGTCTGGATGAGGCCCTTAAAGGCTGTGAGTAGTTCCCCTTTCAGTCGTTTGGTAATATGTACACAACAAAACCACGCTGTATTAACTCGTATGAAAACTTTGGCCAATTCAGGACTAATGAAATCTCCTCACTATGTTTTTCCTGTTAGGTAACATCTCTCTGAGCTGGTCAGGTAAATTTTCTAAGATTGATCATGTTGTTAAATATATCAAACACCGCTCTTCTGCACTGAGGAGCAATGATCTCTCTAACGTAAGCTTGAAGGTCTTAATAAAAAGCTTGAAGCGTGTTCGCTTACAGGCTATTGGGCATTTGGAGAGGCATGCTTTTCTATTTTTGCTTTCAGATGTGGTACATCAAAACACAAAACGCTTCACGAGAGCTCTGTGCCATAGATAGCCTCAGATAAAATGAACAAGAACAGGCTTCTTGACACCTGTGAGTTAATTTGTTGTTAGTCTGCCCAGCCCGCATGGGCAGATCAATGCCGACTGCTCTTCAGGCCAGTTTTTCTGATGTATTATTTCATCTCCAGCGCCTTGTTTCCAGCGGCTCTGGCTTTTCATTTGCTCAAGCTGTCATAAATGCCCCACAAGCAGAGTGTCTAATCATCTGTATGCGGAAGAGTCACAGCTGGGTTTCACGACTTAGCATGACCACTCTACCACCGCTAAAAAACAAAGACATTATCAAAGTCATCATGGAATTTCATATTATTGTAGACTATATATCTACACCTCAGACTGAAATGACTGATTCGTTCTTTTTAGCTGACATCGCAAATATCTCTAATTTTCCAACCCACTGCCCTTGTCAAAAGTGTCGGTACTTCAGTTGCTACCAAAATTAAAAACATTTTAGTATAATTTGCATATTTGCATCCATGCCCTGCAAGCACTCATGCCTGTTATTTTAGTATTATTTGTAGACTATTGCAGCATTTATTACTAGTTTGAAGGAGCTTTTATTTATTGCTTTTATCTATATAAGTTTTAGGCATTTTTATACGCATTTGTCTTTTTGTTTTTTTATATTTCATTAAATGTAATGCAAATCACTCAAATAAAAGCATCTGCCAAATGCATAAATGTAAAACATTTTTATTTCAAATTTTGTACTTTAATGTATTTATTTCAGTTATTCACCAAAGCAAAATTTAAATTTTTTTTAAGTTACATTTTTTCATCTTCTGTTTATATTTTATTTAAGCTTTATTTCAGTTACCGAAGACAATTTTTAAAGAATTTTACAATAACAACACTGGTTCACTATCAAATCCATTTATTGGTAAATTAATGTTTATTTTAAGAGAGTGTAAAAGTTTCGGACAAAAACAAAAAGGACTTAATACATTTTTATAAACAGCCGCTGCTGTCTGTTCACAGATCTAAATTGAGAGACTGCCATTACGCTTCACCCGGCACTTCAATAACCGATTCTAATGATGATATATGGTAACCGAGCACCGATTTATCCAATACATCGGGGTCTGAAACTCAGCCCTCCATCTTCATTCAGCCACTGTTTGTAGAGAGGCCCGTCAATCAGGCATTGATGGGAGCCTCGGGGACCCACGGTGATTCATTATTCAGACAATTTTATGATTCTCAATCAACAGGGTCTGGATGAGGCCCTTAAAGGCTGTGAGTAGTTCCCCTTTCAGTCGTTTCGTAATATGTACACAACAAAACCACGCTGTATTAACTCGTATGAAAACTTTGGCCAATTCAGGACTAATGAAATCTCCTCACTATGTTTTTCCTGTTAGGTAACATCTCTCTGAGCTTGTCAGGTAAATTTTCTAAGATTGATCATGTTGTTAAATATATCAAACACTACTCTTCTGCACTGAGGAGCAATGATCTCTCAAACGTAAGCTTGAAGGTCTTAATAAAAAGCTTGAAGCGTGTTCGCTTACAGGCTATTGGGCATTTGGAGAGGCATGCTTTTCTATTTTTGCTTTCAGATGTGGTACATCAAAACACAAAACGCTTCACGAGAGCTCTGTGCCATAGATAGCCTCAGATAAAATGAACAAGAACAGGCTTCTTGACACCTGTGAGTTAATTTGTTGTTAGTCTGCCCAGCCCGCATGGGCAGATCAATGCCGACTGCTCTTCAGGCCAGTTTTTCTGATGTATTATTTCATCTCCAGCGCCTTGTTTCCAGCGGCTCTGGCTTTTCATTTGCTCAAGCTGTCATAAATGCCCCACAAGCAGAGTGTCTAATCGTCTGTATGCGGAAGAGTCACAGCTGGGTTTCACGACTTAGCATGACCACTCTACCACCGCTAAAAAACAAAGACATTATCAAAGTCATCATGGAATTTCATATTATTGTAGACTATATATCTACACCTCAGACTGAAATGACTGATTCGTTCTTTTTAGCTGACATCGCAAATATCTCTAATTTTCCAACCCACTGCCCTTGTCAAAAGTGTCGGTACTTCAGTTGCTACCAAAATTAAAAACATTTTAGTATAATTTGCATATTTGCATCCATGCCCTGCAAGCACTCATGCCTGTTATTTTAGTATTATTTGTAGACTATTGCAGCATTTATTACTAGTTTGAAGGAGCTTTTATTTATTGCTTTTATCTATATAAGTTTTAGGCATTTTTATACGCATTTGTCTTTTTGTTTTTTTATATTTCATTAAATGTAATGCAAATCACTCAAATAAAAGCATCTGCCAAATGCATAAATGTAAAACATTTTTATTTCAAATTTTGTACTTTAATGTATTTATTTCAGTTATTCACCAAAGCAAAATTTAAATTTTTTTTAAGTTACATTTTTTCATCTTCTGTTTATATTTTATTTAAGCTTTATTTCAGTTACCGAAGACAATTTTTAAAGAATTTTACAATAACAACACTGGTTCACTATCAAATCCATTTATTGGTAAATTAATGTTTATTTTAAGAGAGTGTAAAAGTTTCGGACAAAAACAAAAAGGACTTAATACATTTTTATAAATTATTAGATCCAAATACAGCTCAACAGAGCTGCTGCTGTCTATGCAGTTAATATTAACAAAGGAATGTTGATCCCCAAAAAACTGTTTTCAATTATTTCCAGATATATACAGACTGTTTACTGGTTTGATTACCATTAAAAAAAAAAAAAAAAAAATAATAATAATAAATAAATAAATAAAATACATTTTGAAAAATTCAAGAAAAAATCTGGTAGGATTAAAAAAAAAACATTATATTATTTTAATTTAATTTGTTAATATTAATGTTATTATATCAATAATATACTATTTTGTCTGAATTCAATAGCATTTTATGGTACTGACTATCACAAAACTTCCCATAGAGTATAATGTTAACAATGCCAAGGTTATTATAAATTTGTTCCTAAAATACTGACAAAGCTTGAACGCCCTGTCTTGCTTTGAATAAAAGCATTTGTCAAAAACATAAGAACAAAAAGTACATTACAACTACTGAAATGTTGGTATCATAACAAGATCTTATAGGATAAAATCAGGTCCTGCATTAATGAATTTATATTGAATATCCAGTGTTATCCAATATTCAATATCCAGTGTATACTCAGAAGTGCAAAAAACCTGACTGCAGTGCAAACTTGAAATGGGTTGCGAACGGTGTTTCATGTTTCTGACATTTGTGTTTCTGACTTTAAACTTTGTATTGAATAGCCTGATGCCTATAACTGGCGAATCAGCTAGAGTAGTGGAAAGACTGTGAGTATCAGTAACGAACGCATGGTAATGAACACTTTCATTAAAAATACAATGTTTAAAACCTCAGCGATTGCAAACGCTTATTTTTATCAACACATAAGGCTTAGAAAACACAAAAACGGCGGCCATTATGAACAGGCCGCCATCACCTCTGATGGTAACAGTGGCGGGATAACGTGAAATACTTTGGAGAAAGTGCATCTGTAAGCCTAAATCCAGCATCCGCATCGATTCTCAATCCAATTAAAGAGAATAACATAAGATAAGGCACACCAGGCAATCTCCAAGTTCTCAAACTTGATTCTCCTGTTAGACCCCAATTAATACTCCTCTACCCTATCGTCCTTTTTAAACGGTATCAAAGCCAGCCACCCTCAGCCGTCTCTCTCCCCTGAGAGCGAATATTCACTTAATTATTCAAAGGATACTTACTGGTTTATTAAATGAATGGATTTAATTGAACTGAAGATGCTTTCTCTAATGTCCTGCCTGAGGGTTCCTTTGGCCTTCAAGATCTCCACAAAGTACTGGAGAAAAGAAAGAGACAGGAGGGAGAGAAAATTAAATTTTCAGACGCCACTCGTACATGACTCTTCATCTTACCGAGAGTGTCACCTCTCGTCGCACACCCTTGAGACAAAGCGAGAACAAATCTGTGGAGAGCCAAGCATTTTGCAGCAATGACATCTCAATTACCTCTAACGGCTTAATATGAGCCGCATATCTAACACAACTCCACCAGAGGCGGGAGGCGACGTGGTTTGGTTTCTCAAAATAAGTTGCGTTTTAACGGTCAACTGTTTAATTAGCTGCGGCATTCGAAAACAATAAGACCGACGTGCGAGTTCGCTCTGTTAGCTTTGCAAATTCAAATGCCAATTATTTTGATATAAAACAAAATGCGCACAGAAATGGCACGGAAAACTCAGTGATCTTAAAGGTAAAACTAATTAGCTGCAAAAAAAAGCCTTGAACAGGTTATAAACTATGAATTTCAAAAGAATAACCCTGTGATGGTGTCAAGGACCACTCAATGAACGGAAAACCTTGTGCTGTTGAAACAGTGAATAAAGCTCTCGAAGATAATTAGAATTTCAGATTTGGATTAATTAGGATATTCTGATGATCAACGCATTTTTCTGTTTCTATGACTAAATCCATCCGTGACAAGACAAGTGATTCTCCATCAGTGTATTGTTTGATACAAGATCGACCAATTCAGCCCATGAGCGTTTGTGTAATGTTGTGCCTGTAGAGAGACTAACCGTGACGACTAGATCCAGCTGTTCGCAGTATCTTTGTTCACTCAGGACCAGCTCGCGGGCCGTGCGGCTCCTCTTCCTCTCCCAGCGGTCCCGCTGCTCCTGAATGCTCCGCAGATGCCCATGGGGGTGAACGGACTCGGAGCAAAACTCATGACCAACCAGTTGAGGGTGCTGACTCCAGATCAGTGTTATAGCTACAAAACAGAAAACCACTATTAAACAGACATCAAATTACCGGTTGTTGACCAAAATAAAAATGTAATGACGATAAATGAAATCTACATGTTTATATTTAATATATATATCTGAAGTTGAAAATTTTATTTGTATTTTACTTAAATACATATATACTTAAATACTAACTTTCAAATTATTTATTATATATTTGTGTGTGTGTGTGTGTTCGTATATCTATATATACGAACACACACACACACACACTAATACATACACAATATACACACAATACATTGATATGTATATGTGATATGTATATTTTCACATACAATAACATTTTACATATAATAAAATTTTTATTTTTAAGAATTCATTATTTGACCAATTAATTTAATAATAATAGTTGTATAAATTGTTGATTATTGTTTATGATACAACTTATAGAATTGTATAAAGTTCTTAAATAGAACTAATATAAAGTAAATGGGAAATATTTCAAATATGAAATTACTTTGTTTAATTTCTTTCACTGAGTTTGCTCATATTCATATTTTTAAAATAATTTATAATTTGATATAAAATAAGTGAATTAGACTTTTTTCTGATTTCATCAAATTCAATATACTGTATATTCATGTGTAAGAAATTATAATACATTCAAATATTTTAATAATGATTTTATTTAATTATTTCAGTCTTGTTTCATTGCATTTGCTTATATTAGTATTTTTAATCATTCATAATTTGATAAAACTGTATAATTTTTATGATATATTTTTACTAGTGCTGTCAAACTATTAATCGTGATTAATCACATCCAAAATAAAAGTTTTAGTTTACATAATGTATGTGTACTCCGTATATTTATTATGCATATATAAATGCACACACATACAGTATATTTTGAAAATATTTACATGTATTTATATGTATAAATTTATATTCATAAAAATATACACACACTACACACATATTATGTAAACAAAACCTTTTATTTTGGATGCGATTAATCATTTGACAGCACTAATTTTTACATATTGTAGTCTAACTTATAGAATTCTATATAGTACTTATTAAAATAAAAACAAATGAAAATATTTAAAATATTAAATAATTTTAGGAGCAGCTTCACATCTTTTGTTGACTTCATTAATCAACAAGCTTTTTTTATTTTATTTTTTTATAAAAGTACTTATTTAGTCAATTTCATAATTTACATTACTAGGGTGTTGAAAATCCATATTTTGACATTTCTAAATTACAATCAATACAGTCCAATAACTAAGCAAATGCCATTGGCTAAACAGACCTAGTATGAGGGACGACCAGCTATTCAGTCCCCTATGAATTCGTAATGAGAAACAAACAACATATGCAGAGGGTAAGCCTCCAATTAAGAGAAGCCAAACCTACACACATCCCAACAACACTGAACAACACACACTCTTGATCTATGACTTAGTGCATGCTTTCTCTCTCTCTCTCTCTCAGCTAAGTAAAGTCTCAGTCTCTCCATCATGACTCCCTCCCCCAGCCGGTGGTGCCGTCCCTCGACTCCAGGGTGTCCTCTCTGCACTGCCTCATTAGTGTCAGTTCTAATGGAGCATCAGGGCCAGAAAGAGGAACGAGACCAACACTTTAACAGCAATTAACCCTTGTTCCCTCCCGAGGGAGGCTGGCGTCAGCCCTTCTATAACACACTGTAAACAAGGCAACCCGATCAACCCAAAAAGACTAAGAGGTGTGCATACGGGTATCCACGAGGAGCGAAAGCACCAAAAAATCCCATCCCATCTGCCTCTGTGGTGCCCGTCCCCATGTTTGTACAAAACCTCCATAAAACGTGAAATGCATCCCCTGAAGTTCCTCGTGCCCCATGCAGCCTCTGCTAAGTGCTGCGTCTGAAGCCACGGTCCATTTTTACCAGCAACTTACTGTAAATTGCATCACTCTTGAGTCTCGACACTCAAATAAGCAGTCAATTTCGAGAAATATTGCAGCATTTTAGGCCCAGTGAAGCCAATTAGGAAAAAAGCCAGCTGAAGAGGACTGGGGTCAGGAGTACCTAGTTAAAAAGACTAAATATGGAGCAACCAGCAGGGTTTGTTTGCATAACTCAGCGCTTATATTAAACAAGACCACTTTCTTTTGTTCAGGATAAGGTTTTATGCATACATAAGGAAAATTACACAGACAAACCCTGGTTTTCTTTACAAACACTCTTGTATCTGAATATTAAGGTGTTGGGTAACACCTGCAAATAAAGCAGTGCAGCATCATCAGCATTCGCAAGTCCACAGATCTGCTTCCCAGAAGAGCCACATGGATGAGGGGTGGAGCTGGAGCATGTCCAAATATTCCCACTCACTGTTATTGCTCTGATGGTTTCGGTAAGATCTACAGTGCCATTATAACTGGAATGATATTACACTTTTTGTTAATATTTAAAATCTGTCATTCCCAAGACGAATTGATGCTGTATTGGCCGCAAAAGGAGGCCCTACACCATACTAATAAATTATTGTGGTCTAAAACCAGGTGTTTCAGTTTCATTGTCCAACCCCTGTATATGACACAAGATAGTTATAGAAGTTCATAGAACTGACTCCGCAACAGCTGAGTAAAACCGTTTCACCTAAGCATTATCGTATCGCATATCGCATTATTTAATGAGTTATCGCATTTTTCTTCAATATCGCACAGCCCTAGCATCAAGTATCAATCTTTAGTATTAAGTACAAACAAATATAGCCTACTTTAAACATACTTAGATTTAAGGGTCTCTTAGATCCTAAAAAGAACCCGAGGGTTAAATAACTACGTAGCTTTACTTGCTTTTAAGTTGATTAACAATGAAATTCCTTTTGACACCATGTATAATAAAAACTATTTAATGTCAACAGGCAGGAAGTGACTGGCCTGCTGCTTTTAATGCGTTTGTGAAAGCAAATTGTTGATTTTCAAATCACAAAATATCAAAAACACAGAATTTCGGCTCCTATTTGCATAACTATTTTCAAAACAGATTTTAAAAGATAGACACAAACATACGAGGTCACCATAAGCAAAGACTGACTATTTTCATTGAGTCACCGCTCGCGACCAAAACGTAACGTTAGGAGATTTGGAGACAATACTGCATATCGAGTATGACATATCTGAATTACGCATTAAGAATGAACACTTTTTCGCATGACTGAACTCAAAAACACTGTAGAAGTAGCCTACACTTCTGTTGTCACGTGTTCTTGAGAATAAAACTAGACTGTAAAATAGGCTATAGCCTATATAGCTAACTTCATGATCCAGTTACCATTTATAAAATCGTATATAAAACGATATAGAACGTATAAACGCAAAAACATTCCATACCTGATGTTGTTCGTTCTTTTCAAATTGAATACAGGCGCTCTTTCTTACACTCTCAGAAGTTCCGGGTTTTTCTGCGCTCTGATTGGTGCTCACAAACATCGAAACTTGAGCCGTCCCCCGTGACGCCATCATGAAATTGAGTAGATTCGGCGCTAGGGGTCATTTCACCAAAAGCCTGCTTTCTGTACCCATTGCGTGTAAAACAATTACATTCATTTAAAGGTGGGAAAGCTAACAGTTAAACGAATCATTTTTATAAACAATTCATCTTATTTCTCAAAGACACATAAGTAATACTTCATAGGATATCATATTTATATGTAATATTCATCCTAATAGTCATTCTTTGTCTGACAGAGTGCATAGAATGAAAGGTATTCTTTAAAAAAATCACACAATTTATAGAATAACCCTGAGAGATCTTAGTAGGCTATTATTGACTGACCACAGGCAGGTTCAAGAGGAAAACTCTTGTGAGTGGATAGATTATTTGTTTGTTTGTTTGTGATCATTAAGAACAAGATGGAGCACACATGAGAAACATACTTTAATGCTACACAATTTCTGTCAAAACTCAAACTTATATAATGGGCCTCCAGAAGTGTGTAAGGCATGTTAGGTGAATCCAATCCAACAGCTTCAAAGCGCAAAACAGAAAAGAAAAAAATACTAAATATATCTTCTAAATAAGACCAAGCATTATTTTTACATTTAACTTTTGCATCCTAGGAGCTAAGAAAGGGAGTTTAGTCTATACTCCTGATGATTCGTCTTAGGAAATGAAGGGAGGAGAAAACACATCTCAGCAAATTTCTGCTAATTATACAAAAGTGTTAGCAAGATGAAAGTGATGCCCTGTGATCAGGCTTGGCACAGTAATAGCCCCTAACTCCTCATAGACAGTCCCTCTAATATAAAGAAATCCATCAGGACCCCCAAGTTCTGAAGTGCAAGCATCATCTTCTCAAACTATTTGCTTCTCCTTCCCCTTCCCACAAACAAAAAGCTTGCAGCCCGACATCAGCGAGAACACTGACATCTAGTGTTGCCTGTGTGGCTATCTGAGAGTATCCAGCCTCTGACCAACATGACAGATGCAGCATCTGCATGTAAAACATGACCAGGCCTAATTTGATAGTGCTCTTGCATAAGAAACTTTTTAAGGAACTAAAATGAGACATGATTAGAATGCATGATCTTCTCGTAAAGGGATAGGGATTCACCCAAAAATGAAAAATCTGTCATCATTTACTCAACCTCATGTTATTCCAAAACTGTATGACTGACTGACTTCCGTTTTTGTGTAGTGAAAGTCAATGATATGGAAGCTTTCTGCTGCATTGAGATAAAAAATATATATAATTATATTAATAACAATAAAAAGGTAATTGTAAAAAAACAATTCAGACCTTTCTTCCTCACAATTCTGAGCTCATATTTAGTCACTTGGCAGTTGCTTTTATCCAAAGCGGCTCACAAACGAGGACAATAGAACCAATCAAACCAACAAAAGAGCAACAATATGTATAGTGCTGTGACAAGTCCTGGTGAGTTTCACAATTCTGACATTTTTATATCTCACAGTTCTGAAGTCTGAATTGCAAAATATGAACTCTGAGAAGCCTGAGAGGTTTGAATTGTGAGA